TGTGTTTCTAAAAATAGACAAAATTTTCCAAGCACTTAAAAACAAAGAGCAATAGACTCCACAAATCAAAGGAATATTTTTTTTATATGTTCATGAGGCTTTTTATGTTTTGGATCAACAACCATTGAAAAATCCTTCTCCACCAAAAATTGTATACTTTTGTCCTTCCTTCAAAATATTGTTCACATTGTTGAGAATTTATTTTTATGTTTGTTTTTTTCTTTTTTTTTTTCACAAAACAATTATGTTTTTGTTGAACAAAAATGTTTGCGTCCCACAAGTAATTTCGTCTTGCCAATTCAGGCCCACATTTGAAAACTCAGGCAACCCTGTGTGATTAAACTAACCACGTCAGTATGTTGGGTGGCACAGTGGCACAGTTGGTTGAGCTGTTGCCTCTCAGCGAGAAGGTCACTAGTTCAAATCTCAGCCGGGGGGGGGGCCATTCTGGATGGAGTTTGCATGTTCTCTCTGTGCATGTGTGGGTTTTCTCGGGGTATTCCAGTTTCCAGACCAAAAAACATGCATGTTAGGCTGATTGGTAACTTTAAATTGCCCCTAGGTGTGAGTGAGAAAGTGAATGGTTGTTTGTCTCTATATGGTCCTATGATGGACTGGAGACCTGACCAGGATGTCCCCCGCCTCCTGCACTGTGACTGCTGGATTTGGGCACCAGTGACCCCCGTGACCTGTAAAGGTCAAGGTTTATTTATTGAAGGAAGAATGAAGGAATGAATAAGGAAGTAGGAAGGAAGAAGCATGTAAAGATGATGGATGGATGTAAGTCAGTATGTTAGTGACATGGTTTGTTTAATCACACTTGTTTGATGATTAAAAATAGATAACTGATAAAATAACGTGAACATGAGTAACCATTCATTGTCTTCTTGACGTGACGTGCAATTAAACGTCAAATTCGTTTCATCTTCATTTTCCGAAGTGATGAAAAGGAAAAAGCTAAGCAAATGTGCTGTCCACATAGCTGCCTGAATTCTATTTTTAAAACGCATTAAAAGGTAACGCCGTGACTGTTGATAGAAAGTGGCATCCATTTAGAGAGTGAAATCATGGCTCAGTATTAATCTGACTGATTACACCCATCACTGCCTTTTGGAGTGTGACCACATGACCAGTAACACAAAGTAAATTGATTTGGATGCTTCAGTTCCACCATAATATTACAATAAGTAATGCTCACCAGTGCTCTGTAACAAATTAGAAGGACAAAACCACTTCATCCAGTCAGTCAGCCATTTTCACCCTTTAAGACCCCACCTCAAAGCCTGGGGCAGCTCTGCCTTCCTCTGTGTCTGCTGATAAGCTCATCCCTTTCATTTCATATGTCTTTCTGCCCCTCAGTGGGGAAACCATGCAAAAACATGTTGGTCTTGTTTTAAAGGCATTGCTTGGTTGTGACACATATTTAGGTAGGTTATTGGCAGCTAACTGGGTTAAAACCCACGTCTCACGGCAGATTTTGCTTGTCCGTGGGGGAAACATTAGAATGATTTTTAGACGATGGAGCAGGAAAGAAAACATGGAGGACATCGAAAGCAGGAATTAAAAAAAGACATTATTATTAGGAGGAATGAGTGTGGGTGGGTGAATACTAATTAAGCTTATTTGCCAATGCCACATGTAAATAATGAGGACTGCAACAAACCTTGGAATGATTGGTATCACTTCCAGCTCTAGCCTAGTCATCCATTATTTAAGCACATTTTTCACACTGTTTGACTTTTCAAGGCAGAGGAAAACCATCTGATGATTGATTTATAGGATCTTTTTCACGTGTTTTTCTAGTTTTGTTCATGGCTGTTTTAGATTTGGGTTAATTTCGACCCTCCTCTCTTGCAAGCTACCAGAGTTTGTGCTCACTTCCATTTCTGTAACCTCTTTTTTTACACCCTTCTCTTTAAGCCAATACCTTATTTGTATATGGGAGTCTTAATGCGAGTGTATTTTGTGATGAAAATTACAGCTTAGAAAAAGGGAAAGTTTGCTCACAACCTTTAAGGTCAATGCAAGAAAACAAATGTTTTAGGTTGTGCTAGAAATACAGTAATGGATTACTTTTGTTTAGGAAAATAGATTGTTTTTTGCATTTCATTTATAGTAGTAAAACGTCTTTAATTTGAAAGCAATCACTGCTTTAAATTAGTTAAATGTAAAACGCCAGCTGCTGGTTGTGCTGAACACAAGAGGGCAGCAGAGCCCAAATAATTTATGTGGTTTGTCTCATCTAAAAAGGGACACTTTTTAATATTTCTTCTGCTTAAAACATATCTTTTAACTAAGACAGTAATAATATTATGGCTGTATGGTCTGCAGTATCATCCTGAAGCTGAGGAGGTAATGTATCTGAAGCTTAGAGGTACTTTTATAGTATCCGGGTCACATTGAAACAATATGTAGGGTAATAAACCGCAGCCACGTGCCTGTTGAGAACAAAGCTGGATTTTCTAAGTGTTTTATTTCATAAGTGATTCAAAGAGTTCAATCCCTGCACATTCAGAGCTCATTCTGCCTGTTTTTCTTAGTGTTCAGGGACACTGTTGTGCATGCAGAGGTCAAAAGTCTCCTGCTCATTTTTGGCTACGTTAATAATGGAATTCACAAAATCAGCAACATAATTAATATGTAAAATTTGACATTAATCCAATAATTTAAAAAATGCATTGCATTTCAAACGCACAAATGAATTGGTTTTTTTTTTATTTGTACAAAGAACCATCCAAATCAAGGTATACAAGATCAGTTTTAACAGAAAATATTTACTTTGTGTAGAATTTATGCAATAAAAATAGTCAGTAAATAAGATCATTATGAAGCATTTTGTCTCCTTCAACAAATCTACGGATGATCACAGTTATTCTTATAATTACTACTATTAGAATATAATCTGATGAACTTGATTTGATGCTTTGCACTCTTTATTTTACATATTGTATGCATTTTTTCTTCTAGTAGTAGTTTTGCTCTGACTGTGTATTACGTGTCCATGGCCTTGTGCCTAGAAAATGGTGGAAAACGTCCAATAGTCATCAACCTTTGAGCCAACACTCCTCCATTGTAGTAGCAGTTGTGTGAACTTCTGGTGCCCAAGATATAGGACACTTTGGCAGTGGACTTTATTATGACTGGGTGGGAGCTTGTAGTCTTCCTTTGGCTATCAAAGTGTGAGTTTTGTTGGAAAAATAGTGAACTAAATGTTTGCTTTGGAGCAATAATTGTGTTATTTGTGCACAGACTTGGTTGTTACTGCGAAATCTTCCCGTTCATGTTTAATTCAACATGATTTTAGTTGTGTATTCATCATTTACCATTCAAATAAACAGATTTTTCCCTATTTTCTCATTGTGTCCTCTTCTCCCTCCCATCTCAGTCCTTCTTCATACCTCTCCACGCTCCTTTTCCATCCATCCTCTCCTCCCCAAAGCCACCCCATTGGCCCTCGCCTAGCAACCGCATGATAATTTGGCATAATGTGACACCCTCCAGATGCATGATAGGGGCTGTAAGTCAACTATACACCCCCCCCACCCCCCACCCCCCACCCCCCAAACACACATTTCTTTTTGCTGGTGGCTGGTGCTTGTATTTGTAAAGAAAGAAAAATGAAGTGGTGAGGATGAATGGATTTGAGGCAGAGAGAGAGAGAGAGAGAGAGAAAAGGGAATTTCATGCTCAATCGTTACACGACTGGTGTCCACAGGCTGAACCTGTCATCTCTCCCAGGAGGGCTGTTGTCCTCTTTCTGCATCTGATCGTTTCCTTTTCTTGTTCTCAGCTTCTCACCACATGGCTCCCATAATGTCCATATGTGCATTTAGAGCCATGAACAAATAAAGTAGCGTTTGTGGCGAGCTGACAGGCATGTGACGAGGCAGCTTCCCTGCACCAAGAGGACCCAGCAGTGCTCATAGGTGCTTCTGACACGCTGGCAACACAAAGATGGCTGCTCCATCTGTCTGTACGCTGCTATGTCTGACGTGAGCTTGTGAAGGACGTCCTGAATTAGACGTCTGGTTTTCATCCTTTGCTCTCGTAATTAGTCACAAAAATCCCATCTTTGTTCACCTCATCATTTCTGTTTTTGGTGTATTTCCCTGTCTTAAATGACACCACCCCCCCCACACACTTTCTTTGTTTTCAACAAAGACCTGAGTGATTTAAAGAAACAAAAGCTTAAGTGATCATGTCTGACCTCCTTGTGATGGTGTAATTGATCCCAGAAGGATTTAACACACCGAGCCTCACCGAGTTAAAGAAGCACATGACTGTCATGCCAGAAATGTGGAGAATGGACATTGATTTTAATAAATTATTCATACAAATCATTAGAATAATGGATTAGTAATGAATGGTTTGCTCATTAACTAGATTGGTTTTGGTAATGTTATGTATTCACTGAAGGGATAAGCTACAGTTTAGATCATCTGCAGCACTTGTCTCTGCATGTATGTGGGCATGCAGGCAGGAGTCATTTAAGTGATTGCACATTCATCATCCCCTTGATCTCTCTTTACTTTCACTCGTGTTTTTTTACACATTCTTCCCCTTCCCGTGCTGTTACTTGGCCACCTCAAGCTGAGAGTCTTTGTGTGATAGTTGCAGAAAGATGTCATTCCACCACTGAGCCACATACTGTATTTTATCCCCTTTCCTTTAAGAAATGCCTTTGCTTCATTCATGCACTCACAGCTATTCACTCAGTTTGTCTCTTTCAAATTGTTTACCTCTTTAACACACAAAGGTATTCATTCTAACACGCATCTCCCATAGCTGAGCACCAAGCAACCAGCACAAGGAGAAACGGCAGTAAAACAAAATAAATGAGAAAAGTCCATTTAAAAGAGAGCGTTGTTACCGTGGTAACTCCCCTCCCTCCTCCACCTCTTTTCTCAATCCCTCCCTCTGTCTTTCTCCTCCCTCCCCTCCACCTCAGTGGCGGTGATGCTCGTGTCTCTTTTTCTCTCCATCCGGCTTGTCCTCACCTCTGCTGGACACGCTCCTCTCACACCACCAGCGAATGACACGCGAGGAGGAGGAGGAATAGATGAGGAGAAGATGCTGTCTCTTCTCTCCCATCGCTCCATCACTTTGACATAAAAAAAGAAAGAAAGCAGAGAAGAGCAACAACTACAGAGGACACACAGGATATACATACATAGTTTTATTAAAGAAAGACAAACCCTACTCTTCCCCATTCTCCTTTTCAAGGAGGGCATTTTTCTTCCCTTTCCCCCCCTTTCCTTTTCTGCCCCGATTTTTTCCTCTGAGATCCCGGTTTTGTCACCAGCCGCCCCTGAACTTCTCTGGGATTTCAGGTGAGGCGCGCGTGTGTAGTGGGGGGTGCTTTTCCATTTTTTTTCTGCCACCTGTCATGGCGCACGCGGCCTCCCAATTGAAGAAGAATCGGGGGGAAGTGGATGTGAATGCATTAGAGGACGAGAAGGAGAAGCGGAGGAAGAGCAGGAGAGCATCGTCCCGGGAACAAAAGAGAAAGGTACAGAGAGCTGGCTGGTTGCTTCATCTGCTAAGCTCTACTGGTGTCACTGGAGCGTGACTCCGTATATGTGTGTGTGTTCAACAAGCAATATCAAAGAGGTTTGAAGGTCTTACATACATGCATTTGTTCATGTTTGAGTTTACTGGAAATACATCAAATGTGGGGCTCACTTGTTTTGTTCAAATAGTCTAACCCTGCATGCTGAATGCATCACAATGGTTACTGCTGAGAGCGTGTACACTGGATGATGGCTGAACATATTTTCACCAGTTTGTACTTGATGGTCTCAGGAATCTGCCACTAGATGAAGTGCACACTCAGGTTTTTGTTTCTCTGCCTCTAACTCTTTATTACAAGCAGAAAAGACCCCCCCCCCCCCCCCCACACACACACACACACACCAAACAGAATGTGATTTGTTAAATGAAGTATTTTATTTAAGTTAGTGTATGTTTGTCAGTTTACAAAAGAAAACACTAATGCTTCTCATGTGATTTTTGCTTGATTTGGGTGTTGGGACAAGGTTTTAGTGATTTTTTTATTTATTTTTTATACAAGTTTTATGTGTGTGTGCATGTGCGTGTGTGCACTTGCATGCACAGACAGCCATATATAATGCATACTTAACTGATTTATTGATGACAAGGCTTTTTCATATGATGGGAAAGAAAGTGAAAAGCACATGGGCCTCTGTCCTCTTCGGCCTCTCTTACTTGTCAGCTCTTCACTGTGGATAAAGCAGAGAGCAAAAATAAGCATGCACTCTTTTCCAGCTCCTTCTGCAGGAACTTATTTATCCGCTTTCTTGTAGCAAAAAATAAATGTGTAGCTGTACTGTATTGGTGTTTTTGAACCCATTTACCACTTTTTGCATATAGATACTGGGAGATTTGACCGTGAGAGATCAATTCAATAACAGTTTGTGCCCATGGGTGCTTGGTTTTGAATTATGCTGCTGGCGATGTTATTTGACCTTCCCGTGTACGAGAAGTAAGCCAAATCTTTGTGAAACTAAAAAAAGATTGTTACAGTTGAATGAGTTCTTGGACACTTATAGGTTGTAGGAAGTTTAAAACATGAAAAGGTTTTCTTTTGCTGACCTATCTAAGATGAATATTTGTATTAAAGATACCGGGTAGTTTCATAGGAGAGATCAGGAGAAAGGGTGGAGATATTTGTATTGATTAGATGTGCACAGCAGCACCGTCTTTAAGGTGATCAGCTTTTTCTGGAGGTTCTGTCCTGCATGCATTTAGTCCTTACGCTGATTTGCACTTCACATTTTGGCCACTTTTTTTTTTTTGCTCCTTTCTTTTGTGTGTCCGATCTCTTTTGTCGTTACGTCCTAATTGTTGCTTTACCATCACTCCATCAACTCAAGGGTTTCCCCTTTGTAACTTTTTAATAGTTGTTGCTGTTGTTTGGTTCACGCTGCTGCTTTTGAGCGACAAACTGCAAAAGAGAAAAGTCGAACCTTAAAGTTGACTTGTTTTTCTGTTGTGTTTTGTTGCTTCGTGGAAAACTTTTTACTCATGTACACACACACTGAGCTGAAGCTCACATAAATGGTTCTTACATCCTTTTATTTATGCAGTTTGGCGACTGTTGCTTATACTCTTGTTGCGCCTTCTGGTAGCCTTCCAACTCTCGCTTTGTCCTGGAGTACAGACTGACTAAGCATTGTCAGAGTCATAGACAAACATAATAAATAATAGAAACAGACATAAGCCCCTAAAAGCATGACTTACAAGCTTGAAGACAAGATCAAAGATACAAATTATTGTGCACTTAGTGCAAAATTTTACAATGTGAGCAACAAACAAAGCAGCAAATACGCATGGTTAACATGGTTGCCATGGTAGAAACTGTGCAACAATCTGCTTTGAGTCACTTGTTTCACAGCCTTTACACATACTATATTTAGGTGGCAGAGAATGAACAAAAGTTTCTATAGAGAACACTTGTGTAGTGAACCAGATGACCTCAAATCTACCAGATGGACAGAGACTGTTATTTCCATTGATCTGAATAAGTCTGGGCCATCTGATGACTTTCTTTCTTGAATTAATCAAGCAGAAAAGACAATTCTTTATAATCATTACTGTCTTACAAATGTTTTGATAATCAAATTGTGTTAGTTCACTCAATGCTTTACAGGTTGAAAAGAACTACTCATCTTTATTTTACATAAACAGTAAGTAATGATTTTTATTCCTCATTCCAAGAAGAAATCACCTGAATAAGCATTCCTTGATTTTCTGTCTGAAATGAGTCAAGTCGTAAGTATGTGAAAGGTTGGTTTTCGGTCAACTAAAATGTTTACCGAGAAAAATGTCATGTTTAAACTTTTTCAGAAGATTACCAAGAGTTGACTCCACGAAGTCTGCTGTTGCTGCAATAATCTTTTCTGTATGTGAAAACAAATTTCATTCTCTGACCTCGACTGTTGATAAACACCTTACGTCAAAACCACTCCTCTTTCTGGTCCTTCCACGAATCAGAAAGCTCTAAATTGAACAGGAAGTCGACCCAAATAAAATGTGGCAACTTCCCAGTTCATGTTGGATTGAGAGTGATATGGAGTTCCAAGATTGAGATTGAGAGTGCAGCCGGTTCTGAAAGTTTCAGAGCAATGAAGAGTCCAAGAGAGCAATGAAGAATCCAGAGGTTTTTGGGATTATAATTCTGTTTTGAGCTAACTACGCACGACTCTCTGAAGGTTTGGTAGTTCTCGACGGAGACGCTGAAACGAGTCAGAAAGGAACTACTCCGACGCTGATTCATCATCAACAGGTAGATGGTTCTATTTTGACCAAGTGTACCGTGAGAAGCTGAGATCGGACGGAGCGTGCAATTTCTGGTTAAACAGATTAAATTTCCCTCACATATTTCCTCTGTAAGATAAATCTCAATTTACTCTTAAACTCACCTCTCTCTCATAAATCAGTGCAGATATTTTTAGAAATATCTGAAGCAAAGTCCTCAAATCACCGCCGAGTGATTTGAAGTTCATTATTTGTGAAACTGTCTGTTATTATTTTCATATTTTGCCAAATTAATGTAAATGTTTGATGTTAAACTTTGATTCTGAAAATAAATGATTCCATTCATTTGATGGGTCAAAGGTAATAACGTCTCTTGTTCGCATTCCTTTAAATTCAATGCACGGCATTACACAGTCAGAAAGATGAAGAACTCGTGAAAAGTATGCATAAATATATATCCATATATTTGTCATACAACAAGTGACACGTACCTCACGTGACTCACTACACTTGTAAAAGCAGAGCTGCATTAGTCACCGAGCAGGTTTGTTACAGCATGTGTCATGAAGTGCAGCTAAATATTGTAGTGGAGCTACAGTTGATTTAAGTTGTGCACCTAAAATGCACTTTGGAAATGTGACTTGTCAAGGTCTGTTGTTGCCCTAATTACCACCAGGGCATTAATCAATGTAAAGGTTTTTCTGCTGTTGTCCATAAGCCCAGAGTTTCCCTCTTTAACTTAAAACAAACTCTGGCTATTTTTCATCATTTTAGGACATGATCAGTGAGCAGTTATGGTATTATTGATATATCCTGATGCATGATCAATAAGTTCAAGTTGTTGTGTTTATTTGTCATATGCAAGGTTAACACAAGATTAACAGTACAATGAAATGCTTAGGATGATAAGAACCAATTTGACACAGGTTGTGTGACAAGTTATTGCACCGGTAGTGACATTGAGATTGAATTATGATGGTAAGGTAGGTACATAGATACTGTGTCATATATGATACAGCCTAGTACCAGCCTAGATTCAAGATTTTTTATTTGTCATTCGAACCACACGTGGTACATGTGGTGGAATGAAATTGTGTACACAGTGTCCCAGTTACATCCAAGAAAGTATTAAAATGTAGAAGAAAAACAGTAATCAGATCTAAGATATGAACTAAGAAAAACCTTAACTAAAAACACACTAAGTACTAGTAGCATAAAAACAATACGCCGAACAGCAGCACGGACATGAGTCTGTGTGAGCAGATGAGAATAAATGAACACAGCAACATGATACAGATCAGCAGCCACATGAAACAGATCAGCAGCAACATGAAACAGATCAGCAGCAACATGAAACAGATCAGCAGCAACATGAAACAGATCAGCAGCAGCATGAAACAGATCAGCAGCAACACAATGTGATTTTTCAAAGTGATTATCCTGATTAGAGATTCATGAGTCTAACAGTCTCAGGGTAGAAGCTGTTCCTCAATCTAGTGGTTCTACACTTAATGCTCCTTAACCTCCTGCCTGAAGAGAGTGGGGCAAAAAGGGTGTGTGCTGAGTGAGTGGTGTCCTTCATGATGCAGGTGGCCCTCTTCCTGCGTCTGTAGGTGTAGATGTCTGTGATGGTGGGGATGCTGACTCCAACAGACTTCTGTGCAGCCTTCACCACTCTCTGCAGAGCTTTCCTTTCAGCTTTCAGATTCAGCTTGAGGTTGACTACTTTGATCACACATTTTCTTAGAAACTATGCTCCTTGGCGTTTTCTGTCTTTATTGCATGTTTAAAGTATGTTGTATCATCAAGAAGGCAAGCAAAAAAGGAGACACTTTTCCACTATTAGACCCCTGGTTGAAGATAAATGAGAAACTGAAAATGTATAGAGGGTGCTCTGCTTTGCGTGTTTATCCATGGGAGATGTGAGCAAAGCCACCAAAATTAATGTTCATGTTTTGTCTCTGAGGTTGAGTCGTTAATTTTGTAGCTGCAGTGGCCATCTTACTGGGAAACCCCCATCATGCAGTATGAATTCTTCAAGCTGCTTTCCTTCTAATGACATTATCTGGAGTTGGACCCTCCAGTGGATTCCCTGAGAGAGAGAGAGAGAGGGAGCGAGAGAGAGAGAGAGCTAAGCAAAGCATCCTTCAGAGGTGTCCCAGTTTTATGTTTTTTTTTTTTTTAGTACAAAGATTGGGCTTTAGTACATTTCCTATTAGTCCTGTCATAAGC